CACTTGTTCTGCTGTCTTTCAGAAGAAGGAGTATATGTATGCCTCATTGTTTGATCATCCTTGGACAAGGCAGTGTTGACCACTTATTCCGCTGTCATTATGCCTAAGGTATATACGTCACCGTTGTAACTAATCACAGTGATGTAAATAAAAATCCAAGATTAATCATAAACTTCCAAATACCGACTGGTAGGAGATTCCAGCCTTGGACTGTCATTAAGAAGAAGTATATGTATGCCTCATTGTTTGATCTTCCTTGGATGAGGCGGTGATTATCACTTGTTCTGCTGTCCTTAAGAAGAGGGAGCATATGTATAACTCATTGTTTGATCTTCCTTAGACGAGGCGGTGTTGGCCACCTGTTCTGCTGTCATTAAGAAGAAGAAGTATCTTTATGCCTCCTTGTTTAATCATCCTTGGACGAGGTGGTGTTGACCATTTGTTCTGCTGTCCTTAGAATAAGGGAGTATATGTATGACTCATGGTTTAGTCTTCCTTGGACGAGGCGGTGTTTACCATTTGTGCTGCTGTCCTTAAGAAGAAGGAGTATCTGTATGACTCATTGTTTGATCTTCCTTGGACGAGGCGGTGTTGACCACTTGTTTTGCTGTCCTAAAGAAGAGGGAGTATATGTATTACTCATTGTTAGATCCATCCTTGCACGAGGTGGTGTTGACCACTTGTTTTGCTGTCCTAAAGAAGAAGGAGTATCTGTATGACTCATTGTTTGATCTTCCTTGGACGAAGCGGTGTTGACCACTTGTTCTTCTGTCATTAAGAAGAAGGAGTATATATATGACTCATTGTTTGATCTTCCTTGGACGAGACGGTGTTGACCACTTGTTTTGCTGTCATTAAAAAGAATGAGTATATGTATGACTCATTGTTTGATCTTCCTTGGACGAGGCGGTGTTTAACATTTTTTCTGCTTTCCTAAAGAAGAAGGAGTATATGTATGATTCATTGTTTGATCTTCCTTGGACGAGGCGTTGTTGGCCACCTGTTCTGCTGTCATTAAGAATATGGAGTATCTGTTTGCCTCATTGTTTGATCATCCGTGGACGAGATGATGTTGACCATTTGTTCTGCTGTCCTTCGAAAAAGGGAGTATATGTATGACTCATGGTTTTGTCTTCCTTGGACGAGGCGGTGTTTACCATTTGTTCTGCTGTTCTAGGAAAAGGGAGTATCTGTATGACGCATTGTTTGATCTTCCTTAGACGAGGCGATGTTGACCACTTGTTCTGCTGTCCTAAAGAAGAAGGAGTATCAGTATGTGTCATTGTTTGATCATTCTTGGACGAGGATGTGTTGACCACTGGTTCTGCTGTCCTTGAGAAGAGGGAGTATCTGTATGACTCATTGTTTGATCTTCCTTGGACGAAGCGGTGTTGGCCACTTGTTCTGCTGTCATTAAGAAGAAGGAGTATATGAATGACTCATTGTTTGATCTCACTTGGACGAAGCGGTGTTGACCACTTGTTCTGTTGTTCTAAAGAAGAGGGAGTATCTGTATGCCTCATTGTTTGATCATTCTTGGACGAGGAGGTGTTGACCACTGGTTCTGCTGTCCTTGAGAAGAGGGAGTATCTGTATGACTCATTGTTTGATCTCACTTGGACGAAGCGGTGTTGACCACTTGTTTTGTTGTTCTAAAGAAGAAGGAGTATCTTTTTGACTCATTGTTTGATCTTCCTTGGACGTGGCGGTGTTGGCCCCTTGTTCTGCTGTCCTAAAGAAGAAGGAGTATCTGTATGATTCATTGTTTGATCTTCTTTGGACGAGGAGGTATTGGCCATTTGTTCTGCTGCCCTAAAGAAGAAGGAGTATATGTATGACTCATTGTTTGATCCATCCTTGCACGAGGTGGTGTTGACCACTTGTTCTGCTGTCCTAAAGAAGAGGGAGTATCTGTATGCCTCATTGTTTGATCATTCTTGGACGAGGAGGTGTTGACCACTGGTTCTGCTGTCCTTGAGAAGAGGGAGTATTGTATGACTCATTGTTTGATCTCACTTGGACGAAGCGGTGTTGACCATTGTTCTGTTGTTCTAAAGAAGAAGGAATATCTGTTTGACTCATTGTTTGGTCTTCCTTGGACGAGGCGGTGTTGGCCACCTGTTCTGCTGTCCTAAAGAAGAAGGAGTATCTATATGACTCATTGTTTGATCTTCCTTGGACGTGGCGGTGTTGGCCCCTTGTTCTGCTGTCCTAAAGAAGAAGGAGTATCTGTATGATTCATTGTTTGATCTTCCTTGGACGAGGCGGTATTGGCCACTTGTTCTGCTGTCCTAAAGAAGAAGGAGTATATGTATGACTCATTGTTTGATCCATCCTTTCACGAGGTGGTGTTGACCACTTGTGTGCTGTCCTAAAGAAGAAGGAGTGTCTGTATGACTCATTGTTTGATCTTCCTTGGACGAGGCGGTGCTGAATACTTGTTCTGCTGTCCTTAAAAGAAGGAGTATCTGTATGACTCATTGTTTGATCTTCCTTTGACGAGGCGGTGTTGACTTCTTGTTCTGCTGTCCTAAAGAAGAAGGAGTATATGTATGACTCATTGTTTGATCTTCCTTGGACGAGGCGGTGTTTACCATTTGTTCTGCTGTCCTAAAGAAGAAGGAGTATATGTATGATTCATTGTTTGATCTTCCTTGGACGAGGCGGTATTGGTTACTAGTTCTGCTGTCCTAAGGAAGAAGAAGTATTTGTATGACTCATTGTTTGATCTTCCTTGGACGAGGTGGTGTTGACTACTTGTTCTGCTGTCCTTAAGAAGAAGGAGCATATGTGTGACTCATTGTTTGATCTTCCTTGGACGAGGCGGTGTTCACCACTTGTTCTTCTATCATTAAGAAGAAGGAGTATATATATGACTCATTGTTTGATCTTTCTTGGACGAGACGGTGTTGACCACTTGTTCTGCTGTCATTAAGAAGAAGGAGTATATGTATGACTCATTGTTTGATCTTCCTTAGACGAGGCGGTGTTGACCACTTGTTCTGCTGTCTTTCAGAAGAAGGAGTATATGTATGCCTCATTGTTTGATCATCCTTGGACAAGGCGGTGTTGACCACTTATTCCGCTGTCATTATGCCTAAGGTATATACGTCACCGTTGTAACTAATCACAGTGATGTAAATAAAAATTTTGACATATAAGGGAGGGTTAAATTTTCCATTTTTTGAGTGTCAAAATACCATGGATGAGAAAAAGGTTTTAACTATTTTTCAAACTAATGTTTTTCATTCAAGATACTTATTGCTGCAGTATAACTAGTAAATGTAGTGTAAATGATAATATTAAATAAACTAAAAATTTGATCCTTAGGGTAGGGGTAAAGTTTTCCATGGTAGTGGGTGGGGGGTTCATAATACTATGGCTAAGAAAAAGTGTTCTGAAATCTTTTCCAACTTTAATTTTTCATTCAAGATACTTATTGCAGCATTGGAACTCATTAAAGTAGTGTAAATGCTGTTATAAATTTAAATTCTGATCTTATGACCTGATTTATATATAAAACAATAAAAGGAAATCAAATATGATATACAGCAATTAACACCGACCATTGAATCACTGGCTCCTGACTTGTGACTGATCTTTTAAAGGGGGAGGGTTCAATTTTGGATGACTAAAGAGAGAGGTCAAAATATCATGACTCAGAAAAAGTGTAAAATAAGGTGAAATGCATATATTTTTTATTTAATCTCTTGAAAGATAAATGTCAGAAAAGGTATCACAAAGACGCAGGAAGGCGTCACAGCAACATATTTTAAAAAGGAAAACAATAAAAATACCGAACTCCAAGGAAAATTCAAAACGGAAAGTCCCTTAACAATTGGCAAAATCAAAAGCTCAAGAACATCAAACGAATGGAAAACAACTGTCATATTCCTAGAAAATGGTGGATTAAACCTGGTTTTATAGCTAGCTAAACCTCTAACTTGTATGACAGTCGCATAAAATTTCATTATATTGACAACAATGTGTGAACAAAACAAACAGACATAATAGGTAAAAATGTCAAAAATAGGGGTACAGCAGTCAACATTGTTTTATAATCTCAATCACTATAGAAACAAACAAATATGTCAACAAAGAAAAAAAATGGCATAAAGACAAAGCATATACGCTACATTGAAACACAAGAATACAAAAAATGACAACTACACAACAACACAATGGCGGGATGTACAAGTACCGATCCACGTCTAAAGAATATTACCAAAAATAAACCAAACAGGAAACGTTAATAATTTACAAAGACAAATAAAAGAACACTATAACACGTAATTAAGATGATAAACAACGTCAGTACCAAGTATCTATACATCAAGACCATCGTGTATTATTTGTGAAGTTGATACGGAATATTTATCAACAAGGTCTTGGTATCTTCCGATGAACTTTTTTAGAAAAAGGACGAAACGTTCATTGACATAACCCTGGTTCATTTTACGGCCTTTTACGAAGTAATAATTATTACATCTTAGGAAGGCGTCACAAATAAAAGCTGAAATAGCTTTTCAATTATTTAAACTACGATCTTAATGTACGCGAATCAATATAACCGTTTGACCTTCAAGGCTTTGTTATACTTATTTTACGAACCCCCAAGAAGCGTTTTGACTAACGTGTGTATATTGAGAGAAAAAGATATGTATTCGAACTGCTTTCACTAATAATTTTTTTTTTTTTTAGAAATAGTAAAAATAAAAATTGGATAATAAGGCTTATTGCTGACTGAGAGTTGAAAAGTTCTTACAACTTTTTTATTGCGAGAAACTGAAAGCTCCCGTGTAAAAGAGGACACAGATTTGAAAAAAGAATGAACATATATTTTTGACGTCATTGACACAATTTATAACAAGGCACAGCTCCGAGGAAAGTGACACATATTGGAGGCTGGACATACATTTCATTCTTACAAATATATAGCGGTACCGTTGTAACTAACTTGCTATGGCCATATTTGATTCCAACAACACAGTACAATTTCTTCTTTAATATATACTTATATATAATGTTATCATGTTAAAAGTGTCATACGGTCTGGAATATGGCTTTAATTAATTCTAAACACCACAACGCTTCCACCAATAACGAATCAGGGTCCCACTGGTTTACTTGCCAACTGCAGTAAACGAAGAGCATTCTTTATTGCTATCCGACTTCAAAACTGCTCGTTGAGTACAACCCACCTGGACAATTTTACATTCTGGCCCCACGCTTGTTATTTCAATGCCTATTCTACAATGATATATACATACACATTTCTTTTTACATTTTGTTGACTTTCCATATAGGCCTATTATCTAAATAAACGATGATCATTGGCTGTCTGTGAATACAAGTTGTATTGAAAATATGATTATTGGTTTAATGCGATGTTGAGCAGAATCTGCTAATCCTTCTGGAGGGTTCGTTTTGCTTAATCTTAAATTTTTTAAATAGTGTTTTGTAGACTTCTGCTTGTTTTTTTCGTCGTTTTTCAATTTTTGCCATGATTTATTTTGTCTCTCTTCACTTTAGAGTTTAATTCTACCTTTGGTATCTTCCGCCTATTTTATGCATACATTGCAAATTATCATCTGTTTAGAAATCTTGAAACAAATATCATACGTCAAAAGATCCGAAATTGTTTCCACACCCCTGAAGACCCTAATGAGAATTCGTCTTGTATCATTGTTATATAAAGCATTCAGAAAAGATAAACACAAAAAAAGATAGTAAGGGAACGACTATTTCATTTTCTAGGGTAAGAACTGAAAATAAATAAAAGACCGGATGAAAATGAACATTCTGCAACACAAAATGCAGGAAATAGATGTGTACAAAATGGTCGTCCCCTAAGGAACAAAACAAACTCCTTCGAAGTGTTACAGAGTGTAGCAAAATTAAAAATAACTGAAAAGCAACAGATAGCTCGTCAAAATTAATGAAAATAATCTTATCCTACATCCCGTCGATAAATACAGTTTGGCATTGCACAAGATCATGTTTTTCTTTGACTGTTAATGAAGTCTTTATATTAAATCTATTGAATGTGTACTGATAATTTTTTTTAATTTGTTAGATACGTGGTTTTTTGTTTTATTTGCTTTGAACTAGCTTTTAGTAACCGCGGGTACTCTCATCTCTGTACTTTGTGTCTTCAGTGTTTTGTTATAGTTGTTTTTGTGCCTTGTATCGATATGATGAGTTTAGCGCCCATTTCAACTGATTTGTATAATTTGTTCCTCGTTCATACCACATCTCCTTATTTTTACATTGTTTTGTTACACCAATGTCCCAGGTAAGGGGAGGGTTGAGTGCCCTCCAAAATGATCAACCCGGCCACAAATCAGGGGTTGTCGTTTGTTGCTGTAAATCATATTTGTTTTTCTGTTATTGTTTTGTACAGACTGATGTTGTGTTTTGCTGTAGTATCACTGTCCAAGGTTATGGTAGGGTTGGGCGCCCCAAACATGTGTGAATCCGCCATATTCTGTATCTGACTGTCCCAAGTCAGGAGCTAGTAATTCAATGGTTTGCGTTTGTATCTGTATATCATATTTGTTTTCCGTTAATTATCTCATATATAAATCAGGCCGTTAGTTTTCTCGTCTGAATTGTTTTACATTTGTCATTTCGGGACCTTTTATAGCTTGTTATGTGGTATTGGTTTTGCTCATTGTTGAAATCTGAACGGTGACATATAGTTGCTTACTTTTACATCTCTTGTTGTTTCATTTGCAATCAACCACATCTTCTTATATTTATATTAAGTTTTCATATCTATAAAATTTTATTGTTTTTAAATATCTCAAAATCAATTGGTCTGGGTTTGATTTAGAAGAAAGTTATAAATAAAGTTTTCATATATTTTACACATATTACAAATCAATTAATTTTTGGAAATAGCATTCAACTTGTATCCAATATTTGATATACATATAGTCATCCTGTGACCCTTTTCACACACAAAAATCGAATGAGCGAAAATACTCGTAAGTCATGACTTGCAATCAATTTTAATCGCCAGATTTGTTGTTAAAAGAGTCGATGAGTCTAAAGACTTACGAACAGCATGAAAGCACGGTTTTAGAACAGCTACACTTTACGCACTTTGGCTGGTAAAAGGTTCTGCTCCGTCCTTTTCGTATGAAGTTACCTTCATAGCTACATCCAAGGGAATTTTCTTGAAAGAACAACAAACCTCTGTTAAAGGGGCACTAGCTACGAGATATATAAAAAATCTAATATATGATATTTTTTGTTCAATCATTAATAAAAGTGAAATAGTGAAATAATTATTCGCTTTTAGCCGCCAGTATGGTTCAATTTTGTCAAAATAAGCTAAGAAACATTGATGATGAACTATTCACTTGCAAGTGAATAATTCGACCTCATTGAATCCGTATTCATGTGAACTTCAATTTAACCCCTTAGCTAGAGATGGTAAACACGTGAATTGTATGTGTAAAGTTATTAAAAGGAAAAGAATGTTAACATTGAAAGTGAAACAAAGGTAAATCATTTGATTGACTGATCCGATCCACAAAAATCATTCTTATACAGGTAAAAACGATGATAAACATATATTTTTAATCTATAATATGAAATTAAACAGACCTAGAAAAATCCAATAGCACGAATTCGCTTAATCTATTTATATCTTTATTTATGTTTACATCGCTTATATGGTCATCGGATGACTTTGGAGGTCAACTCGATAGTTAATTATATGGCGTCTAGACTAAAATACACACGAAACGAAGCTACGTGTTATCATGCCCATGTCCTGTTAACTGTTTATTTTAGACTTTTAATAGTTTGGATAAATGTTTTACATTGTTATAAATCAAATATGAGAATTTGAGTCTAATCGGTGAACATGAATTTGACAGCTAGTGCCCCTTTAAATTAAGTTATATTAATTTTAATTCTATATTAAAAATGTGATATTTTTGTAGATGCACTATATTTAAGCATACACACACAATATGTGTAATAACCTTTGAATTGTATCTGTATTTGTACTCGCTTCTTATAACAGCCAACAAAACCTTGTCAAATCTCACCTTTTCTTAGCTATCTACTGCAGTAGGCACCAGTTAATAGGCGATGTCAAAGATTTCAATAGAGATTTCATTAAGACTTTGTGATGTATGTTTTTATTGATGTAAATAATCATTATGTTATTGAATTCGATGTAAGTGTTTATATCATTGCAAATAAGAGTTATCTGGGCGAAAATATCTCCAAATCGACGAAACATTTTTCGACGTTTTTCTCTCAAATACAACAAAAGAATTATTAATGCGTAAAAAGAATGGCAATTATGTTATATGCAAATAATGGAAATTTATCTAGCAATTACATATAAATTTTAAGAAAAATCTTAGGCTTGCTTAATGACGAATGATGATTTTGAGGTTATTCGAACAAACTTTTTCTTCTATTTTATGTGCTTTTAAACTAAAAATTAACTTTTAGGCAATAAGATAAACGAGATAAATGCATTAACGGTGTTAGATAATTTCGAATAAGAGACTACCAGTTTTTTTTTTTATTATTCTAAGTCATTGTGTAGGCTGTCATTTGACTTTTTTGGTTAAATGCTGGTATTTCTTTCAGAATACAATGCCTGGATATCATTTGAGGAAACAATAACAATACACACTGTTATAAGTACGCTAATGCATGGGTAAATGCAAACATTGCCCAATTTGAATGAGTTATAATATTAAGCATCCCGTTTGACTAATATAAAAATAAGGAGATGTGGTATAATTGCCAATGAGACAACTATCCACCAAAGTTCAAATGATGTGGATGTAACCGTTAAAGGCAACCGTACGGCCTTCAACAATGAGAAAAATCCATACCGTAAAGTACATTGTGACCTGGAGGTGGTATAAAAAACTTCCACATATAAGACTTCCACAGACAAAAGTCAACTGAAAATTTTGATTGATTTATTGATTGTTTGTTTGCTTTACGAAAGTGGCAAATATTTCATGCATGTTCACCACGAGAATAAGCTAACAAAAATTACAATAGGTAAGTCCTGTAATAGCGGATACGTATTTATACAGCCCAGTTAATCAAACGGACGCCTCACTTTTCCAAGGCTTTTACTGCCGAACGCAAGAAGACCACACGTAACCATACTTCTCTTACTCAGTCACCCTTTTGGTGTTAAAAATTCATAATGGCTTTGGCAATATATCTATATTTTTCATTTTTCTGCGTATGTGACCTAACGTTAGTTTGATTTTAATACTTATTCTGCGATCAAGTTCTTTAATCTATCATGTAGTAACCCTAAATCAGTTTAATTATTAGACGAACACTACATTACAGGGTTAGTTTCTTTTTGGCAAATTTAAAATACTAGAAAAATAATAAATCTTTAATGTTATAAAATCTAACATTAGAAAAATTAGATTTTAACTTAAAAACACAAACACACAAGAATTACAAAGTTATGATTTTAAAGTTTTAATTGAGAAGTCTAATTACATTTTCATTAACTAACGGTGACACGTTTCATATTACTGGATTCAGAAATTCCGCAAATTTATGATAAATAAGACGAGATTGATTATTTTTACACTTGTCTCAGTTAATATTAGACAATACATGCGCATATAAAAAAAAAACTTAACTACCTGAAACCAGCTCCGCTCTGCACCAAGAATGGCATTCTCTAAATGAAATAATCACAACCAAAACGAACATGGTGATATGTTTCATTTTTGAACTAGTAGTATATCTCTGGACTGGAATATTTTTCAAATGATTGGTATTTTGAAGTATCCGAATTTTGTATACTTATTTGCACAATTCGTCATAACATTATAATAAATGATAAACGTTAATATTGTTTATTTTTTGTACAAAATATCCCATCTGTTTCTAAAAAATTAAAATGGTGTTACCTTGGGAATGCGGAAATACGATCCAGTTATTGGTCTAATCGTCGTGTGACACGCTGTATTTATCAAATGCATATAGATACATAGATATAAGAAAATGATTTTTTTTTTTTATTCTATTAAGAAAATGTGGTATGAGTGCCAATGAGACAACTCTCCATCCAAGTCAAAATTTATAAAAGTAAACCATTATAGGTCAAAGTACAGCAAGCTATAAAGGGCCCCAAAAATTACTAGTGTAAAACCATTCAAACGGGAAAACCAACGGTATAATCTATATAAAAAAAATGTATGTTTTTACCAAAACTTCGAATCCCGGGAGTAGACAGTTTTCATTAAAAACCTATGTTATATTTTTCCTTTTAGAAGGCCGGTACCCTAAATGTTTAAAGAGGTACCCAATATGTTTGTTATAAAATATTCAAATCATTTAATTGTCAAGAAAGACAACTTTATCAAAACTGGGCCAATAAATTATACATAAGACAACTAATAGCAAAAACTAAAGATGTCGTCTGCTTCGGAACTTTGCATCTTAAATAATTTCTGTAGCAAACTCCAAGGAAAATTCAAATCGAAAAGTCCCTTATCAAATGGCAAAATTAAAAGCTCAAACACATCAAACGAATGGAAAACAACTGTCATATTCATGACATAGAATATAAATCTAACAATTTATTATTATTTACTGAACAATCTCCCTGTTTGTTCAGTAAATCTAAACCTACAGGGGTGGCCTGTCAAATGCTGTAGACATGGTATTCATTATAACAGCAATAGTGCAATAAATAAGATTTTAGAAAGAAAAAGAAAAAAAAAAAACCTATACTAAAAGAAATATAGATACAAATATTTGGTTTGAAAGTTTGGCTGTTCGAAAAAAAAGTGAAATAACAAAAATACCAAACTCCAAGGAAAATTCAAATCGAAAAGTCCCTTATCAAATGGCAAAATTAAAAGCTCAAACACATCAAACGAATGGAAAACAACTGTCATATTCATGACTTGGTACAGGCATTTCCTTATGTAGAAAATGATGGAATAAACCTGGTTTTATAGCCGCATAAAATTCCATTTTGACAACAATGTGTGAACAAGACAAACAGACATAATAGGTAAACATGTCAAAAATAGGGGTACAGCTGCCAAACATTGTGTTATAAGCTTTATCACTATAAAAACAAATAAATATGTCAACCAAGAAAAACAAAATGGCATATAGACAATGCACATAAGCAAAGATGAAAGACAAGAATAAAAAAAATGACGATAGCACAATAACACAATGACAGGATGTATAAGTACCGAGCCACGCCAAGAGGATATTACCAAAAAGGACTAACTAGTAAAGTAAATAATTTACAAAGACAAATAAAAGAATACTATCACACGTAATTAAGATGATAAACAATGTCAGTACCTAGAATCGATACTTCACGCCCATCGTGTATTATTTGTGAATGTGATACGGAATATTTATCAACAAGGTCTTGGTATCTTCCGATGAACTTTTTTAGAAAAAGGACGAGACGTTGTTTGACATAACTCTGGTTCATCAACTTTCTGCTCAGACTCTGGTGACGTTTTATAAAGTCGGAGTAGCAGCTGCAAGCTGCTGAATACCGAATGAGTTAGGAAAAGATATTAATAACAGGATATCACATCCTAATTTTTACGGTGATGTGGTTTATACAGCTCGTAAATACAGAAACGATTCATAGAAATTTATTGATCCTCTGAATAAATTTATTCTTTGAGGGTGTCAATTTAACATTGTTTTAAGATCGTTGAACGTTGATTTTATTTTAAATGAGTTAATACATTACTAAACATCTTATGATATCTATTTATGAACACTTATGGTTCTTCAGTTGTGTCGTTGGTTCCTGTGTTTCATAAAAAAAAAGGTTCATTGTAATGCTGTAACTGGACTTAGGAATGAAATGATGCCACTTATGAGAAAAGTAACAACAATAACCAATGTATGATTTTAATTTTAAGTGTAACCCTTTGTGACCAAAGTATAACCTTTTCAACTCTGTAACTGGGATTGGGAATGAAAAAGATGCACTATGTATATGAAATGCACATTTAAACTAACAGTTATTCTTTTATATTTATACATCTAGAAATACAGTCAATTATGAATTTGTGAAATAGGTCTATTAATGTATATAATGTATTTTAAAAAGCGACGAAAAATATGCATTTTTTCACTTTAGATCACTTTAAAAATTCTTTCGGCTTAAGAACAGTTGCCGACTTTATTAAGTTGAGTCAGGCTACTCATGTCAGGCGATCACATATGTACTCCTATAGTCTATGTACATCTACAAATTCTGTTATTTATACAATAGAAAATTTATACTTCTTTTTTACATTTTTCGATGTATATTTTCAATATCTAATCGAGAACTAAATTAAAAAAAAAATTATGTACTGGTCATACACTGATCCTTGACCTTAAACCATATACTTTATGCCCTATCTAGTAACTGGTTAGGCTAACCCCAAGATTAATCATAAACCCCTCTATAGAAACTGAAGCAACAGTGCCGAATTGTAGGAAATGCCAGCCTTATACTGCTATTTAGAAGAAGGAGTATCTGTATGCAACATTGTTTGATCTACCCTGGACGAGGCGGTGTTGGCCACTTGTTCCGATGTCATTATGCCTAAGGTATATACGTCACCGTTGTAACTATTCAAAAGGGTTCAATTTTCCATGTTAGGGGGGTCAAAATACCATGGCTTAGAAAAAGTGTTTTGAAATCTTTTCAATCTCGTGGGTTTTCTTCATTCAAAAAGAGAAAAGGGATTATAAATTTTTCAAAATTTTGTTTTGTATTCATTATACTTATTATTACAACGATTGAAATAGTGTAAACTCTATTATAAAATACATATTTTGACCTCCTAGGGGAGGGGGTTACATTTTCCAAGGTAGGCGATCAAAATACCATGGCTATGTAAAAGCATTATACAATCTTTTCCAACTATTATTTTGCATTCATCCTCCTTATTGCAGCATTATAACTAGTTTAAGTAGTTTAATGGCTATTATAAATTATAACGTTGACCTATTAGACGAGAGGCTTAATCAATTTTGCATGGTTGAGGGGTCAAAATATCATGACTAAAAGTTGAAAAATGAGATGAAATTCATATATTTTTTTATTTGATCTCTTGAAAGATGAATGGTTTCAGAAAAGGTATCACAAAAATATAATGAAATTCCACTTTTTTGCAGGACGTCATAATTATTACGTCGTAGGAAATAAACTCATCAGAGATACCAGGATTAAAATTGTGTACGCAAGACGCGAGTTTCGTCTACAAATGATTCATTGGTGACGCTCAAATCAAAAAAGTTTAAAAAAGGCCAAAATAAAGTACGAAGTTGAGTAGCATTGAAGACCCAAAGTTCCGAAAGGTTTTGCCAAAAACAGCTTAGTTGATCTATTCCTGGGATGGAAAATCCTCAGTATTTCGAAAAATTCAAAGTTTTGGATATATTATTTTCCCTCGAAATACTTTTCTGTTCCCTCGATGTATCCTTTTAAGTGTTCCTATACATATGTTTGTATTTGTCAAAAAAATATTCGATATATATAATTTCATTATAATTTTAAGACGGTTCCTATAATCGTCGATCATAGTGATTTTATGCATAAAAGAACACAGTAATAGGAACATCAACAAATTACAAACAAAGAAATCAACAAATAATTATATAAATTGCATCAATATATTAGCTATGTTACTTGACAGGAAATACTGTATGATTGATGACGGACGGACGGACAGACAGACGGCAGATCGTTCCATGTTGACCATACAGTTGCAATATTTCATGTAGACGAAAACAAAATATGTTGATTCTGTAAGGTACGTCGGCAAGTATAAAGGCTTTGCCTTGCACCAGACCACCAACAGACCCATGATGACGATATTACAAAGATTATTCAACGTGCAGAGAGTGTGGAATTCGCATACACGGGGCATCGGATTTACATTTCTATTCCGAGCGGAGGTGGCTGTGTATTAATACATCCAGCACATCCGAACTGACGACCACTTCATGACGAGAGAAGATCAGGCACTATAATTTTTGTCTATACCAGTCAATTCATTGGAATTGAAAGGGAGAACGTATAGTAGTTCACATACAGCAATTGTTATGACATAATTGTAAAAGTACAAAAGTATACACCTCATGCATAAAAAAGCATTTTACGGACTCCACCTATAGCAAGAGACAAAATGTGTAAATATTATTCAAAGAATAGATATGGCGTAGATCTATAAACTTATGAAACACATACACGGTGATGTGCTATTTCTCCATAAAAGTAAAGGATATATTGTATTCAACAAAAGACTCTTGATTGATTGATTGCTGATGTTTAAATCCACTTGTATTACTCTGTACTATATCGTGGCGAATACAAGTCAATTAAGGTCAGAGTATGGCGAACGCCCCTGCCACGATCCGGTTCTAACTCAACCTCATCGTTAACATGCTAGTGATCGCTGTAGTTGAACTACTTAGACAACTTCGTCCATCGAGGCCCCTATAACGTTACAAAATTCTCTTGAATATAATTATGTGTCTGTACTTTAGTTTGTTGATAGTATTGACATTTTTTCCTATATTTGACATTTCCCTTCTAATTTAGTATATGTATAGCATGAATCTACTAGTGTCTGTTATGATTCCAAAAATCTCAAAATTAAAATATAAAAACATTTGCCAAAAAGTATACCCTTAATTTCTGCAACACTTAAAGAGCATATAGATGTGTAAATGTCCTGTCTGTCATATAAATAAATTAAAGCTGTTTATTAAGCACATTTTATACATGTTGCTACGAACAAAAT